CTTTTCCATGCTAAAATTTATACATTAAAACAATATTGAGATATGAATTGAAAAATGAAAACCCAATAAAACACTATTTTATAAGCCCTTTATATTTTACAATACACATGGTCTATAGCTACACCCATGACTATGTAATATTTCATTTAGCTTGTCATGTATCACCAAATATGTTATAATCATCACCAGAGTTCCTACTTGGCAAGCAGATTTGGAGCATGAATATTCAATAAAAGATAAACAAGCATTGATTTAATAAAGGATTCATTCTGCAGAAAAACCTTTATAAAAAGAATTACTATTTTGTGCATTTTACATATCTGACACTTGCTCCAATAGTGATATTTTGTATTGTTTGGGAAAAGAACAAGATTTTACCTATAACCTGAAAGAAAAGTATATTTATAATTTTTACAGGCTTAGTCTAATGGAGTTTCCAAGTAGGACAGGCTACACCAGCCTACACACTGTCCAGCCAAGGTCAAGCTCTTCCTGGAGGATTTCAAGAATGTCACATGCGACAGGCATTATTCTTTATGTTCTGAATGTACTCTGAGCCTCTTCATAGTTGGTCATGCCTGGATCAGCTCTGGAGGAATGTTCCATGCAGGGTCTCATGTATGAAATCACTTATACTGGCATCTCCATTGAAAGGATACTGGCATCTCCATCGTGTAAGACCATTCTTAATTCACTAACAAACAAACCTACCATAATTATGTCCTTTAGTCATTACCCATATATCATGCACAACAAGGTTCCCTACTACTGCTGTGATCAGCAATCTAATTATGCGTTTAATGCAGAAGAGAAGAAGCTATACCATTGGTTCAAGTAAATTGGTCACACAGGTCGTAACTATAAGAGAGAACATTATATGTATATTGTGCACACAGGTCATGACCATAGGAGAGAATGTTAAATTGTAAATTGGTCATGACCATAGAGGAGAATGTTGTATGTACATTTCTGGTATATGCACATCACCGTCTTAAAAGAAAAATAAAAAAAAATACATCACAGGCAATTCCAAAATATTGTATGTTACAATGGCTTTGTGGTTAGTACTGATGACTTCTACTACTTTATTCCTTGGTTTAAATCAACAGCAATATTACATGCATGGAGTTTGTATGTTTACCCTCTCTTCGACTAGGGCTTCTCAACCCTTTTTCTGTCATGGCACTCATAAAAAGTAGGAAAAATCTGAAAGCACCCCAGACTAATATGTAATGGATTTTAAGAGGGGACCCAACATAAAAAACACAAAAAACTGTGGTTGCTCCCATTTCATCAAAGTCACCCCCTTCAAAATCAGAACCCCCCCACTCACCCTTACATCAGAACCCCTTTACACCTTTACATCAGAGTCCCCTTCTTCTTTAGAAACCCCCTCTCCTCACATCCAGAGCTCTTAAGCATGTGAATCCCCCTTTCATATTTGAAGACCCCTTTTACATCAGATTTCCCCTGTTATATTAGAGCCCTCCTTTCACATCAAGAGTCCTACCATCACACAATTTTGACACACTCCTGAAGAAGCCATAAGGCACTCCAGTGTACCCTTGTTGAGAAAGGCTGCCGTAGACTGATCTGGAACTACGGTGTGTTTATAATTATGGGGCATTAGTTCCGCTTGGTATAAATGGATATGAAATGTTTCAGTGTTCTCTGTAAAGCTATACTGGTGAAGTATAAATATAATGGATGGTAATAATGTCCATAAAGCTGTACGTCAGTAACTCAATCTGCTTTTCATAAGTTTGGTTGAGAAGAATGTCACCAGCACACCAATAAAACCTTTTAGCATCACCAAAAAGTTTTATTGAATAGTTTGTCAATAGAAAACAAAGTGCTTGCGTGACCTCGCAGGGTCCCTTATTCAGGCTCAACAGCGACCATTGATGATGAGCCTAATGGAGGGACCCTGCGAGGTCCCGACAGCGCTTGTTTTTCTATTGACAAACTGTTCTATAAAATGAACAATTGGTGACCCTAAAAGGATTTTAAGTGTGTTGGTGACATTTTTATCTACCAAAGTTATGTGATAGCGGCACCATCCGCAGTCATTTCAGCACCCATCCCTATCATTGGGATTTCTGGTAAGGAGTGTGACAAGTTCTTCTCTATAACCAATCTGCTTTTGAGTCTCACATTCCTTCCTTCCATAAGTTTGGGGACATAAAAATACCCGGGCTGCAGAATGTAGTGCTTCCCAGGACCCTGCAGGAAGGCACTATACTGCTATTATGGCCTCACAGACAACTGTGATGTTTTTGATCTAATGAATCAAGTGGAATGACTCACAGTGCATAAGAAATGAAACCACCATTGCATAAGTAACCATCTAAGAAGAGAAGAAAAAAAAAAAAAATCACAAAATAGACATGTTACTAATTCAGTCTTTTGTTCATTTATTTATTGTTAACTCAGAGTCATCTTAAATTGCATTGATAAAAACATATCAAGAAACATATATTCTCTAGTGGTCTTGACCTTGGTAACAGACTTATTTCAGAAAGGAATTTTCCACTGTTTTACAGGGTCTCCAAATTCAATAACTTCCCCAAAGCTGCTTCTGACCCTTCTTGGAAGAATATGGAGAGGTTACACTGGGTCCACTCCCACATTTTACCAGAAGGTGCAATATTATTTGTAGCAGCATCTACAGTTGAAAATGTTGCAGTGTATTGTTCTTTGAGGTATGCTTTAGCGTATAGCAAGGGATGAAGGAAATCTAAAAGGTGAGTTCCTAATTAAAAGGCAATTTCATACCCGACTTTTGAAGAAACATGCCTATAACCCAGAGAGCTTTCTTCAAAGCAAATGGTTGGAGCTGGTACATAAACAGTATGCACAGTGTTAGGCTACTGAAGCAAACCCATGCAGTTGCAAAAATTGTTTTAGAGACCCATTGTATATCCATGGCTGTGCTGCAGTACCAGACTTCAACATCAGGAGGAGAATTCTGTTACTACAAATCCCATTTTATTTATTGCAGTTCCTGGAAGCTGTGAAATGATGGTTGTGACAATACAGAGAGCTCACAAGCAGAGACAAAACTTCCAGTTCAATTTGCTTGTCTCTCTTGCCCAAAATCCCTACCTTCTAGCATTTTTTGTAACTTTACTTCTGCTTTAAAGAAATGCTAATTGACTGGCAACTCACAGGCATGCAAATCAGGAACCGACTTCACTTGCTGCACACTCGCTTTGGGCCAGTGATTCAGATAGCAATAAGATCAAAAGGACCGGCATGAAAGAAAAGCAACTAGTGGTCAGCAATGGTAGCCTATGTAAAGTATTTCTCTCATGGCAGGTTTACATTGTTTTTCCCCCCAAGAGGTGAAGATAACAGAGTGCCAATTGGAGAAATGACTGATTAGAAAATCAAGAACATAAACAATTAAAGCTGCTCAGGAAATTCAAGAGAAGTACTCCTTTAAAAACTTATAATAACTAAATTTCCAGTACCGTATAACAAAAGCAGTAACATAAGAGAGACTGCATTTAATGAGTGATGGTAACGCTCCCTACGGGGGTCCCACATGAGGCTTTTTTTAATGTCCAGTTCTTCTGTTAACTGATAATCATGAAGTACTAACATATTAAAACACTGGCCATCTCAGTGCTGCTGCCACCATCTTGGCCACAGGTGCACATCAAATCTTTGGTAATGGACTAGCAAACTCACATGGCACTAAAAGTAAAATATAAAAATAAGCAGAATACCAGAGTAAACAAGATATATCATCCGTGTAGCGGCATTGATCTTTATACAGTGGAAACTTAGTTATTTGGACGGCAACAAAAATAGCTGAGAGGAAGAACAGCTATTTATGAACTAGCAAAACAATGCGTGATCATCTGCTGCTCACAGCGTGTCTCTATTTATATGGCATTATTGAGAATTAATGCACGCTGCTTTTAAAGGCCAAGTTTACCTTTCAGACTTGGTTTCATGTTACTCCCTTAAGTGCACGCTATCATACAAGTGGTACCATGTGCCTGGTGCACTGTATTACCATTCATTCATATGGCACCCCAGCACACTTCCCACCGAGAACACCCCAGCACACTACTTTTTTGCAATGCACTGTATTGCGGCACCAAACGTTGTATTGCAACGCATGGCCATCTTGGGGTGCATTGAAGCCATTCAATGAATGCCAATGCAACCCACCAAGTGCAAAGTACTGCATCGCTGCGTGAGTTGTGCAAAAGCATGCGCTAAACATATGGCATCATGCGTCTAGGTATGAACCAGTCCTTAGGGAGTTGTAGTAGTAGTAGTAGTAGTAGTAGTAATAGTAATGAACTATATGTAAGTAGTAATGAAGAATGTTACCCGACAGGATCCTTTTACCTTTTTATACTTTTAAAAGAGCATCCCCCTTCCCAAAAATAAATGCAGTGACCCCAGAAGGGCTATAGCGGTTCTAGGTGAAGTCTACTTGGCCGAGTGTCTGCCTGGCTTCTTGTTTCTCTTGGAGGGTCCAGAAGTGATTCCTCCAAATGTTCCTGGCTATATTGCTGCCCATCTTGAAGTGCTGCATGCTTTCAGTCCTTGTACTGCATTCCCTATGTGATATTATAAAAAGGTCATATAGACAGAGAGCAGCAGCACAACAAAAGCAATACGGGCCTAACAATTCAAGTCCAGGGATCCCAACATGGCGTGTCCTTGATGGGTAAAAGAAACCATTTGGTGGCTTAACTATCTGGTGTGTACCACAAAAACTGAAATCTCAATTTTCATTAGACTGACCTGTAAAGAAGGTAAACTGCTGATTGGCTGGTTAGGGTACCGTTCCATATTATTAAATAAATCCACAGGTATTGATCAAACTCAATGGCACGGCTCATGAAACATGGTGAAAAGCCACTGAGATCCCTTATATATGCACAATTTAAATATATCATGGACACGTATCAGGATGAAAAGGCAAAAGTGTACTATAAAAATGCAATTTCATAACAAAAGAGAACAATGCACTGTAAGAAAAGAAAATATATATAGATCTGATTGGCACGGACAGATTAGTGGAAGAAGGCACAACTGTTGTGGAGTTAATGCACAGGCTTGTCACGGACGGACACTGTACCATCCTCCATGCCAAAGTAGACCCGTTCAGCCATGTTGATGAAGAGCCCAGTGTCCACCACACCTAGATGTAAAAAAGAAAAAGATTATAAATATATGTGAAATGATAAAAATGGAACAAGTCATCAATAAAAGAGCATTTGTACAGGTATTTGTTCTTTGACTAACACATCAATATATTTTCAGTGTCCAGGCCAACAGCAGTGGGACAGGTCCTAACTTCTTGCAATTGTCCCCAAAAGAAAAAAAAAAAAGATACTTTTTTTTTCCCCTTGCTGCACTCCTTACCGAAAGTCCCTTGTAATAGGAGGGTGCTCGCAGTGACTGCGGATAGTGTGGCGCAAAATATAGCAATGTCACTAGCACACTAAAGCCTTTTAGGAACATAAAATAAATGAACATTCTGCTATCCTAAAAGGCTTTGGTGTGCTGGTGACTTTTTTTTTTTTTTTTAAATGTAGAAAAACCTAAAACATCCAAATAAAAATGAACTACTGATTAATAAAAAGCCAAGCACCCTAGTAAAAAGACTCCTTAAAGAGACACTGTCCTCATTCAGAGCACTGCAACAGTGTCTTCACAAATGACCCCCCCCCTACAGCTGACACATGTTTTATCGCCTTACTAGTGCTTTCCCTCCTTTTGTTGCAGCCAGCACTAAAATCTCCAGTGTTGGCTGGTGCTGGACACTAACAGGGTTATTCACAAAAGGGTGAAGAGTTTGGAGAAGTCAGGAGAAGTGAACAATCTAGGTCAACATAGCTGATTTGAGATAATTCTCCAATTCAGCTATGTTGTCCTAGATTGTTCACCTCTCCTGCCTTCTCCAAACTCGTCACCCTTTTGTGAATAACCCTGTAAATGAAGCAGTGGCTTCACTACCTTGGTCATGTGACAGTGATCAGGTGTAGCTGCTAGACCCAAGCATTGTCAGAGGGGCAATGTCCCATGCAGCTTTAAACCTGGAATAACTAGTTATTGTCGCCAATGGTGATGGAGAAAGGAGCGGCAGGGGAGCTCTTGTTCAAGGGGAGTATAAGTGGGATAGAGGGGCTCCTTTCCCCAAATAAGCAAGGTGACAGTGTATCCTTAAGGCAAACCTGTGCTTTGCAATAGGTTTGCTCTAATACTCCATGCCAGCACTGGGTATGCTGGAGCATTTTGCAGAGCTTGCCCAATCGTCACACTGGGAGTCTATAGACCTGTGTGAGCTATGATTTCAGGGATTGCATCTTACGCAGCAATTTCCTTTCACTCATGGGAGTGAAGCAGCAGAGCAAAAGAAAAATAAACAATACAGTAAACATCTATGGATAAACCAGAGTTGTCTTTAAAGTACACCTGCCACCACCATAGCTACAAACTAGGCACCAGAAGATGCCCACTGACAACTATGACCTGCAGGTGACAGGTTTACGTTAATAAGGGCTTCATCCAGGATCAAACACTAAGGGGGTTATTCACAAAAGGGTGAAGAGTTTGGAGAAGGCCAGAGAAGTGAACAATCTAGGACAACATGAACTGGAAAGTGAGCTGAATTGGAGATTTCTTTCCAAATCAGCTATGTTGTCCTAGATGGTTCACTTCTCCTGCCTTCTCCAAACTCTTCTCCCTTTTGTAAATAACCTCCTCAGGTTATCATGTCTTTTTTTTCACCATCAATAGATTTTCATTAAATGTTTGTAAAAGAACTGGAGCAGAAGAACAAAAAGTTACATAGAACAATGAAAATATCAAATGTAGGACCAGGTAGGAACAAAACTATCAATAAGCATGCCAAAGAAAAAAGGTATCTTTTCAAAAAGTCCATCATGTCCTCTTTTATATGTATACTGTATCAGAAATGCTGGGCAAAAGTAGTGGGAAATGTGACTCTGTATTTTACCATAAACACTTAAAATACAAAAAAAATTATACATCTCGAGAATGTTCAACTTTTAGCAGCACCAATTACTACATGTGAATTTGGCTGAATCTGCTTTTGGCTCAGATCACATAGCGTACAAAGATTAGCATGACCTTGGGCAAACACTGTCGCAGGAAGCCTTTTTGGATTACATGAGGCCAAAATCTGGTACTTCCAAAAGGAACATGAAACAGGCACATAGCTACCCTTTGGGCTTATTTAAAACGAAGGCCTGCATTTCTGGAGAACATCATGCCTACTCTGTGCTTGGAGTCCTCCTTTAAATTCATATACTGACTCCAACATTGGACTTTAAATTTGTCCGCCTTTGTTCTTTATTCTATAGATACAAAAGCATTTCTCATTTAGCTTTCTACACATCAGCATGGTTGTTATGATGGGTTTAGTGCTTTCACAACCATTTCCATGAACGGCACATGTGCGAGGCAGTATGTGAATTAGTCAGAGAAACTGAGGAGGTTTCAGTTGGGTGGGGGGGGATGGAGAGGGCAGCCATCTTGGGAGTTGCACCTGCTCTTGTTAGACAGCCTGTAACCACAGGTTATGGAACGCTGATGTGTCCCAAGAATGTGCACTACGTGTCCTAATCTAGTATGAAGATTGTGAGAA